GCCCTTATCAAAATTACAAAGAACTGCAATATCACACACCATACACATCTCTGGAGAATTCGAAGGCACAAAGAATCCAAATCCAAAATTACAAAGAACTGCAAACCAAACGGACCCATAATTCTTCGGAGCGGAATTAAATTAACCCATGAGTTGAAGTTGAATGAAGCCAATTGGACTCGGATCAAACTCGGTTAAGATTCAGATAACTTGCGCTGATTTAAAAATAACAATATATATAAATATCTTACGTACACTATACAAGGCAGGCTTTCTAATCGCTGCAGACTTTCAAAATGTCATCATACCTTCCAATGACTCTCATCACAGAGCCTGAGACCCAGACCCAGGCTCTCTAATAATAATAGCCCTCCCCTTAGTTGGCTGGGCACATAATACCATGTTCATGTCAGGCAGGAATCAAGCCCCATCGATCACTGCCTTTTTTCCTTTTGACGAGAAAGGAGCTTCTTTGCTTTGGCTATGTGAGACGTGACAAAGGGCCACTGGGACTGTGGAAATCTGAATAATTTCCACATGATCAGAAATAGACTTGTCAACGACATGGATATCCATGCCTACAAACACGTAGGGTTGGTTGCTGCAGGAAACCTGTCCTCGCAAACGTTAAAGCAAAAACACACATGTTTTTCCCGTTCTTAACCCTAACTAATGCCCCTCCTTTTCCTTTCCGAGACCCTGCTGGTCCATGCATCTATATCTTTTCTGCTTGGGAAAATACACAGCCCCATAAAGCCCATTCAGTGGTTTCTGGGTTAGGTCCCCTTCTTCTCTAATGGGTCAGATCCAAGTTCCATCAAAGGTTGACATTTTGCAAACCCTGCGGCCTTGAATGATGGGGCCTTCAAACCGTCTCAAATCTCATCAAATAGATCTATCCTTTGCACATATAACAAGCTAACCAGCATAGTTTATAACATGTTTTGCATAATAATATTATATATAGTTCTTTTTTTTTTGTGGGGGAGGGTAGACATAAGAAAGTTAAAGCTGTTCAGTAAAGATTTGCAACCACCAGTACTACATTATATTAGAGTAAAACCCGTAGAGGAATCCAACTCAATGAATTGAAGCTCCCATGTCCTGCACCAACCACTTGGGCAAAAATAAATAATGGAAGGCTCCATAACATATGAAGGGGAGCCGGCCCCATGCATAGATGATGGGCCCTATAAATGGTTGGGTAAAGGGAGGTTCATGTAGTAAGGAGATCGATGACTTCTAACCTTCCAACAACTGATCGATTCTCTTGTTCTTCTACAACCTCTGCTTTTTTTTTTTAAATGTTTCGTCAACTTTTCTGGGCTACCCTCACTGGCTGAAGGCAGAAGTCTGAAGGCTGAAGACAACCACCTCCTCCTCAGCTCAGACCATGTCGTCTTATGCAGGTCATGCCAACTTGAAAAGCACTCAGGAAACTTGGAAAGTGCTTGCCTGAATTATATGGTATCTTGGCCCTACTCAAAGTACTCGATTCTGATAATGGATCACTGAAAAAACAAAGGCATGAGAAGACCCATCTCGACCATGCCACCTTTCTGATGCATGGACGTACATTATTGCGGAGAAGAAGTAAAAGCTTTATCAGAGGTATGCCAACCTCTCCATGATTCCTCAAGGATACGGAATTACAGAGCAAAGCAGGCAACCACTTTTCCAATGTGTTAATTCCTCCTGTGATGCAGTGCAACCCCAGCCCCAGGCAGTGTGACTGTGTTGCACTAAAGTCTATGGTACAACACTAATCTCCCTCCTTTCTCTCTCTCTCTCTCTCTCTCTCTAGATCTCCTTTCTTTCTTCCTTTGAAATCTTCCCGGTGGGTGAGTGTTCAGCCGGCCCCTTACCAGCTATTACTCTACCATCTTTTTGCATCGCTGCTCATAGACGGTACTGAGAGGGAATAAACAGTGAAGGCAAAGGACCACTTGCATCTTCACCGGCTAATTAAGGGGGCCCTTGCTATTCGATCCATCTCTTTTTGGGATGCCTGATCACAGACTTTGTTTGTTTCCTCGGCTCAGTCCTGATGATTCCAATGAGGGCCAACCTTGCACATGCCGCCTCCCCGGCCCCCTTTGAAAATTTCGAATTCATGACATGGCAATTTCAGTGGATAGGAGTCTGATGAATGTATATATTAACCAGGCCAATGACGTATCTGCAGAAATATAATCCATGCACACTGATCATTTTAGAAAGCAATTCAATTCTCCTGATGATCAGTCCTGATATATATATTTACCATCTTTCTACTCTTTCCTTGTGTCTATGTACTATGGAATAGTAGAGTATATATGGATGGTTGTAATCCAATAATTAAACATCGAAGTATTCATCCTTAGATCAAAACCCAACTGTCAAGAAATTAAACCTATTAGAGTGATAAGTTGCATGAATGATGATTCTTGATTTCTATCAAGAATCTCAAATATATAAGAATGATGATGCAACCAACCATTTCCCTCATTCGTTTCTTTCATTTATGATTTATCTCATCTGGGTTATTCTTAAAATGCCTTTAATTTGAAGAGATGATAACAGATGGAGCTAGCTAAGACTCTTTTTCTTTAATTAAATGGGTGTTGCTCTTCTAGGTGTTAACGTGCTGTTTGGTTTGAATTGGCTAGGAGAGCGGGTGGGTTGGGACCTATTGCAAAAGGTTAAAGGCTTAAAGCTATGATTGAAACACAAGAAGATGGGGACCGAGCCTGGTGCAGTAAACAAGCAGTACTTTAGAGCATTATTCTGTTCAACTGAAGCAATATTGCTGAATTGTTATAGGGATGAGAGCTATTACCTCTTTATGCAACCACATGCAAAGCCTGAGACCTACTAGAAAAGGAACTAGGAAATAATTGCACGGTAACAGCTAGCGGAGCCTGGTTTTAAGAAGCATCAGTGCTCAGAAAAAAAATATCCAAATCCCACCTACAAAAATACTCATTTCAAGGTTCATTAGGCCTTCCAGCATTCAAGTTTTTTTTTCTTGATTGAGCTTTTATTCCCTGGCAATGGAACATCTAACTAGTTAGTACTTAGTACATTGGAATTCTGGACTACTGAGTATAGACAGTTATTGTGGACTGATATGATACCTGACAATGTATTACCATGCATAGCAGAAAGGAATTATTGCTTAATCAATGAAATGTAGTATTTCTACTGTTGCATTCAATTAAATTGCATACTACCATTCAGCTAGGCACAAACAGTACATGTAATAGAAAGTATTCTGAGAGGCAGCTTTATACAATGTTATTATGAAGCCAAAAAAGAACATTATTTGAATATTATTAACTTCATCAAGCTAGGTCACTTTCTGCTCACAGAGATCCTATGGTGCCTTACCTTGGTATCTGTGGGGTGAAATTTCTTACATCTGCTTCCATTAAACTGGCAGAATCCATGTGTAAACTGTATATATATGATTCTATGAACATTTAATATTCTGCCTCTCCCAGAATCTGAAATTATGCCTGTAATGGTGTATATAAATCTATATTTACATTTGGGTACATTAATGCCTTCTTACAATTTTTTTTTTTTTTTGAGAGAGAGAGAGAGAATAATTAGGATAGATATATCTTGAGACATATAAATGGCTGGATGGGGTCCCCCAGAATGAGCCATTACCATTTAAAACACAATGTGGTTGAGACCTACATAGCACATCATTCCTTGCCCAAATTATTGAATACGAATGTCTAGAAATTGACACCCCCCCAGAAAAAATGAAAAAAGAAAGAAAGAGAGTAGAGAGACCACCCGGGTGCAGAGGAGAGAGTTTTGATTAAAAAGAGCGAATGAAGAAAATAAATAAATGCACCACTCTACTCCCATCCAAACGTCAATTAATGAATATGGAACGAAAATACAATAAATGCATACTGGAAACACATTGAATAGCCAACATTTAGTGAAGTCTCAGTGAACTCCCTAAAATATAGCCGATCTAACCGTTATGCACACTTTGTGGGTACGTGGTGATTTTCCTAATTTTCTACCCAGGAAGATAAAAATATGATCACACAACACAACTGGGAAAAAAACAAAGAAAACAATTATGTTGGAGAAAATCCCCTAAAGCTCTGTTTGTTTGTAATGAAATTTAATTTGTGCTGGTACAAATGGACATGAGAGTGCGAATGGGAATTTTGCAAAAGTTGGTTTATTTTTGCTTGGGGTCTTACCTTATTTTGATTTACCTTTCATTTTACTTTTCCTGCACTGCCAAACAAACAATACACAGTGATGCCTATACCAAAACTTGAACTCTAACGCATTTCCACTCCCAAAATTTTGCACCAAAACAAATAAAATTGCACTGTGAACAACACAACCCCAAATTTCTTAGGAGTTTGCTGGTAAAGATTGTAGACAATTAAGCATTATCTTTAAAATATTCTGCTAAATAATTGTAGACAATTCATGTTCATAGGAGTATGGTAAAGATTGTATGCCCTTTTCAGTGTGAAAACAATCCTCCTTTCCTTCTTCTTTACACCAAAAATGAATTCACCTTCACCGGTGGCTAGCCGGAAGCATTTGGAGCTTCCTTCGTAAACCTTGGTCCCAGCATATATATCTTATGCCTTTTAAAGGTTAACAATGACTCATCTGCATGATATGTTATAATCACATCATGTGCATCCATGTATGTATTGAAAGAAAGGTGATAGGAAAAAAAAAACCTAGGTAAAAGTGATCGTTGGGGCTATAAACTCAACTGATATGGATGATTGAGCCAACAAAAACCAAGATTGAGGTTAATTTTAATATTTATAAGTTATAATAATCTTGAACGTTGTTTCACTGATGGTGATTGCTGACCATGCATCTACCAACCGTCCAAGAGAAAAAAAATAAATAAATAACAAGGAGCTGCTTGCATGAATGAATTTACGCTCATAGACGGTGCGACTCCTACCGTGTTTGCCTCTCATTGGCCAAAACATTAAGATAAATAAATATGAGTTAACTTGTGAAATTTTTGAACCAATGAATGATGAGCACGGCAGGGTTTATTACACGGTTTAAACAGCGTGACCGATCCCTGCTGAATCATTGCCGTTGTATGCAGAAAATGTCAAATAACCCCCACCCCACTCCATATACCAACATTTCGTTCTTTACAAGCAACATTCCCTCGATTGGTGGGTCCCGCATCCTTCGGTAGGTTGCTTGGCTTGTTTTCATCCCCCAGGCAGAGATGATGAAATAAAGAAAAATAATTAAAATAAATTGGCATCAGATCCGAAGCAAAACGGAAAGCAAATATAAAAGTGATGGAAGTGGGGACCATCACCACCATCCCATACCACGTGCTCCTCCCTCCATATTTTAGATCCTAGTGCGCTTGTGGTCCTGCTGAGTTGGACGTAAAACAGTATGGCCATGCACTCGCACACCGCCACCTATACATGTTTGCTTTGGACGAGTTAAAGCGTGTTCCGATACACGTGGCTCCCAATTCCCAGACTAGTCATGTAGTCCACGTCCACCTCAGCTGCTCCATATATTAACCTCTTCTGTTTCCACACTTGCACCAGATAAAATGATCGACTTCCCAATCAAGACACGTGTCCAAGCTCATGTCCAAGTGCATGTACCTGCATCTTTGCTTTCCTATAATACCCTCGCCCTATTTTATTTTGATTCCCTCTACCTATTTCCCAAAAAAAAAAAAGTGAGAAGGAAAAAGAAAAGAAAATAAAGCAGTTTCCCATGACTACTACAGTTTTTTTACTGGGGAAGAAAGATATTAGGGGGTGAAAAGGGACGGTTACGTGAAAACTATAAAGACAAAAAGAGGACTGAAGGAGATAGGAAGAAAAAAGAGATGAAAAAGGCCAACTACTATCAGTAAAAATTAACAAAAAAACGCTTTTCCGTGGTTTTAAGTCATGAACATGCCATCCCCGAACATCGAGTAAGTTTCTTTCTGTTTCCTTTTTTATCTTTAGCAGAAGGAAATTTACGAGACTACTGACTGCTCGTACTAGACCACAGTGAATCAGAGAAGCAAACAGAAACTAATAAGAGGGACACGAATTTCCGGGATAGAAAAAAAAATGAAAATATTATTCAGACCGTTCTCGCCGAACGGATTTGCAGAAGCTTCTCCGTATACCGTACAGACTGCAGAGCTTCCTACAAAGAGAGAGAGAGAGAGAGAGAGAGAGAGAGAGCTGTACAGGGTGAGAGGAGAAACTAACAATATGGAAACCTAAAGTGGAAAAAAGAGGAAATAAAATTTAATAATATTAAATTAAAAAAAGCCTTTCTCCATTTTCTTGCTTTTCTTTCTCTGGCTTCTTTTTTTTTTTTCTTTTCCCTTTTGTTTGCATTTTTTCATCATGGCTTTATGCGAATCCACTCATAACGACCCTCCAAGGGAACGTCCTTCACGATATCGTAATTATACCTGCAATAAGAATTTTAGGGTTTTCTGTTAAGCAAAGTAAGCTTCAGGCGGATACTTCGTACTCCACAGGAAGCGTGAACTTACTTATCCGCAAATCGTTTCTGCTCGAGTTTCTCTGCTGCAGAGAAGAATTCGTCAATTTCGGCATCTGTTGGCATTTTCCTCACCGTGGATCTATGGCGGGAATTTGCGTCCATTGGCCTTGCCGTTGACTCCAGGTCGTCTGATTCGGCGCAATGTTCGCTTGACGGAGTCATCTCCCTTCTGGAAAGAAGTTGATGGACAGAAAGAGTAAGAGAACCCAAGTATAAATAAAAGAAACGAAGACACATAAGAAGAAACGGAAAGCAAGTCATGGACCGTTAAGAATCTCTCGCTTTCAATTTCTCCTTAATTGTACGAGCTTCATGAGCCGGGGAAAAATAAACTTTAAGCGACACAAAGAGTATAAAAATTTAAACCTTTCTCTGAGGTCGAAATACGTGGAGTTTTCAATTTCGAAGACCTCTTCCTACAAAAACCAAATTCAGAAAGATCAAATTAAGTTTGGAAATAAGAAAGTATGAGAAACCGAAATTGAATCAATAAATGAAACCGAATTGAATAATTGAATTCCGTTGGGGTTCCAATTTCACCTCCAGATCTACGGATCTCAAGCTCTCCTTCACGAGCTCGGTCGATCCGTTGCTTGAGCTCCGAGACGCCAGAACGTGATCGGAGCTAGCACTCGAGCAACGATCGGCTGGGGTTACTGGACTGGAATTCTCCGATGTGGCCGGCGAAATTGGAACGTCAGGCGTAGCCACGAGGGGGCGACGGCTTTGGAGCTGAAGATACGAGGAAGAGAACTGCAATTCTCCAGAACCAACGATCTTCCTTCTCTTGGCTGTGCCCGCAGTTGCAGCAGCCATGGCTAGGGTTCGAGCTCTCGTCCTCACACCAACCTGAGCGACCTCCATTACTGCAACTTCACCAATTCCTTTGCATTTCCTCATATACTTCCCCATCCGCATAGAAATCTCGAGCTCTCGTCGTCTCGCGCGCACTTGGTGTGCGATGGAGAGGGTTTTTCAATTTATTTTCCCGTTTTCTTGATGTCAGAGAAAGTGCGAATGTAAGGGTTGGGATTCCGTTGGACGGTTCGGATCTTTAGATGCTTTATTCTTGTGGTCCTGACTCCGTTAATGGTGATTGGGAACGGCAACGGATTCCTTGACGGCGCCGTTACAAGAATCGGGCCGTTGAGGATTAGGCCGATTCCTCGAGTAATGACCGTAAGCCACCTGGATGTCCTCACGCTTATCTTTTAACTGGTTATAGCCGGTTTTCACAGGGTAGAGCCAGCCGTAACTAGGTTGTTAAAGGGGTCAGTTGCAACGGATTATTGCCCTGCCCGCAACGTGCAGTTGGTTATTGTCAGGAGCCCGTTCGGTGGGGAGCCGGTCAGGTCTTAAGCGTAATAATTGTATACGAAGCCAAAATTACTGAAGTAATCCCTGCTTTATAAGGAATTAACGACATTGCCCTCGTTACTGTACTTGTATCTACTTTTTACGTTGGGGAAATGGGTGGGAGTGAGACGTTCCTGCTGCGCCCTCGGTCTCGTCTCGTGGAGATGGAGAGGGTAGTACGTCAAGAATGAAACGGTAAAGGAAATGTACAGTATAGGAGGCATGAATGGTATTTGGTCTTCCATAAAAAATCAATGTGGACCATTTATCTTGACCGTACAGAAAAATACTCAACCGCTCTGATGATGAGGAGCCAATGTTGTGTGGGCCCTTCTACATAGTAATCACTAATCAGGATATGTACGATTTTAATCTATTGGGGTTTGCAAAGCCTATAATGAAGTTGACAAATGACAACACCGCTAATTATTCCGAGGCCTGAGTTGACTCGTAGAGGAGTAACAGTTTAAATTTTAAAGCACCAGCACTCCAATTCCATCAACTCATGTTACCCCTAAAAAAAAAAGTTAAAACTCGCCAATTGGTCCGAAATCCTTTCATTTTTATGGTTGGTTGGATTTGGAACCACATCGGCCATCGCTGATCGTACGGGCAGAAGCAAATAGAAAGATAAGATGTTCCAATCAAATTATTTTTACTTGGCATAGCGTAGCAACTAGCAAGTAGTAGTAGCCCTCGCCGTATATGAATTTTGTTTATTCTATTTGTATCCACTCTAAGAGAAATGGAATCTCTAGCTATCGTGGCTTTTGGGAATTCGGTTTGTAGTACGAGAGAGAGAGGCATATCTACCATTGTTTCGTCCACATCAGCCCCATATCCGAAGGTATGGATTGTTGCTTGAACTCTCTTTTGTTTTCGACGGAATGACCAAAATACACATAGATGTGCGTTGATGTTTTACATGTATGTATATGTTTATGTGGAATCTAATTGGATCCAAATTCGATCCGATCCATTTACAGCTCAATCCGGGTATGAGGGAAAATAAATTAAATTGATCCATGGAAGGAGTTAGAGGATGGAGATATCATATATATGATAAAGCTAGAGGCGGTGCAAAAGACGTGGAGACTATAAGGTTAAAGACTATAGTCCGAACAAATGTCATAAAAGCCCAAGAAGAGGTTCGGGGTTGCCCTTTTCCCCTCTCCCCAAGGCTTAACAACTTCATACCTAAAACGCAACAAGTGCTTTTCCCTAGCGGAGAAAAAGCTGAATCTCTAGGAAAGAAGCCTCACCAAATATTCTTCCTGTTAAAAGAAACAAACAATAGCCTCCCTCCATATCAGATTTGACAGCAGAGTAACGATTTAGCTGGCTTTTTGTTTGGAAATTGAAATAAACAAAACAAAGTTACAGTCAAGGCTATGGCAGTGTTGTGCATTTAGAGGAGGTCAATGATAGTTAATGTAGAATGCTTGCCTACTGGACAGTACTGGACAGTCCAGACTCCAGTCCATCACCCATTGGATAAAGAGTTTGAATTAGCTGGGCTTTGTTTCTTCACATTGTTAAATGAAGAGAGAGAGAGAGAGAGAGATGAAGGTATATGGGTGGCCCGTCCATAAAATTGTATTGGGGAATTTTCAGTATAACATGATTAGGAGACATTAAAGTGGCAGCCAGAAAATTGGAGCACATGGAGGGTTGCAAAGGGTACAGTTTTCGCGGGTCTCTCCATAAGACACCTCTAGGACCAATCTCATGCCTCAAAAGTTGAGTTTCAATCTTTTTGAGAAGAAGATCAGGAGGAGAAGAATCTCATTTTGGGTCTCAATCATTTAATGGCCCTAGAAACCCTGCATTGTTGATGTCTTCATCACTATTCTCGACCCGACCAACAATTTCACCTCCAGTATATAGGGCCGGGCATTCCCAATCCACTTAGAAGGTCTCAGCGTCAGTTCGTCATTTTCTGTTAATGTCTTCTTCTCTCCTTGTAATCTCAATAATAGTTTTATTTTTGTACGACAAATAAGCTCGCTCATGTCTTGAAATTTCAAAACTAATATTTTTATATGATTTTATTTATATTGATATTCTTGTATTAAACCAACTAAGACGTTGTTCTCTACTCTCTAGTGTTTGCTGTAAGTTCAAAAAAATGAAAAAAAAAAAACAGGGCTCCACAAATGTTTTGGAAAAGAAAAAGGAAATTTCTTAAGACCTCCCTTGACTTTATTGACAAACAATGTCTAAAACCTTCTCTAACTTTTTACCACTAATTAAGCCCATCAGAGATCTTCCCCCAAATGGCAAACAGAAAACTTTAAATTACTATTCTATCCATTCTTCAGTGTATTTATTCAAAATACCCTTAAGAAATGACTGTTTTAAAATGAACAAAATGCCACCAAGGCTCAGTTTGGAAGGAGTACAAATAGGGTTTTTCATAACAAGACCCAAATCGACCAAACTAATCAACTCGGTCTGATCCAATTTGAATTGGCCGGTTTTTCTTCAGCATCGATCGGTTTCGGGTTACAAAAAAATATAAACCGATGGTTCAGTTTGGTTTCAGTTTTCATGTGTGAAAACCGAAATCAAACTGACCAAACCGACTTAGATATTATATATATATATATATATAATATTTGATATATTTCAGTTTTACTATATATATATTTTAGTTTTAATATATATTTCAGATATATATTTGTGGAATATATATATATGTTTCAGCTTTATTTCAGAAATATACATATTATATATAAAATTTTTTATATATAAAATACTAGTTTTAATCTATCAAATCATTTTTAATTTCCAAGCATCCAACCTTTGCTTTTTTAGACTTGAATCATTTACCGTTCACACCGAGAGTACCATTCACAAAACCAACCTAAACCGATTCAAACCAACCAGGTCAGTTTTACTTAGTACTGGATTGGTTTCGATTTCATTTTTAGGTAAACCGACCAGGTCAAGTCGGTTAGAAAAACACCAAAAAACCAACCCAACCCGACTCATGAACAACCCTAAATACAAATACAAATATGTTGGATGCAAAACCTTATATTTTGCATTATTTTATATTTATTTGCACAGTACATATTTGCATTTGTACTCTTTCCAAACTCAGCCCAACTTACAAATGAAGGGCCTACTTGATCATATATATAAGCATGAGGGCATGTCATTGATAGGTATCAGTACAGTAGATGGATGGTCATGATCAGCGTTTGGACCCTTACCAGTATTAGACAACCATACTCAATATTTAGATTCTAGCATATCAATGGACAGCTAGGTCAATGTGTTTCTCTACTTCCCTATTTTGGCAAACTTATGGGCCTCATCGCCAAACCCATTGGATTGTCTGCCATTTATGTTGCTGAGGAGTGGATCCTTACACAAGCCCATACTCTCCCTGCAAAACTAGGTGTAAAAAGGGTAATTATTTAAAGGGATTCAAAGCTATTCATCGATTGCTTGAAGTACAATCATTAGCCACCGTAAAATATCACAAATCTAATCGAAGACCGCCAAAGAATGGTGGTGCAAGAGGAAATGTAACTACCATTATGTTCAGATAAGCAAAGCAAGTCAATGGATCGGGTCCGACCCGACGGACCCGAACTGATTGGGACGTGTCGGGTCCAGGTCTTGATTCAGAACCGGTTCACCTAGTCTTGAACTGATTTAGACCCAGTCCAATATATATTTTGTATGATATATTAAATAAATTATATATATATATATTATATATAAAATATTTAATATATATTAAATATTATTGCTATCAAAAGCAACAATGTAATTTCACTTTCAAGACGAGGGGCTGACTGAGTCCAAGGGCTTCAAGRTCCGACTTGTAAGCAAAGGAAGACGTCAGAGGCTCCAAGTGCTATCCTAGGGACGGAGACTCCAACAGTCAAGTTAACAAGGGCGTAGCAAGAGGTTGAACGAAACCTAAGTAGAGATAGCTCAAACGAGGTCATCAAAAAGCTTTTAAAGAGCTTAGAGCAATAAATGCCAAGATAACTTACCTAGGGAGTGACACCACTTATTTATACTTAAACCTACTTAGAGTTTATTAGCAACGGACGGCCAAGATGCCATCTGGACAGTGCCACATGTCGCCAATCTGAGCCATGCCATATGCACCTACATAAAACATAAATATTTATTTTTATTTACTATAATTGAGTTGGTCAAATCAGACCTGATTGTCCCAAGAACTGATCAATTCGATTTTGGATCTAAAAATTATAAACCTTATCAGGTTCAAGTTCAGATCCAGGTCCTCAACATTTTATATTAGGTTGGTTCTGATTCTAGCTGATTTCGACCCAGACCCAACCCGTTAACAACCCTAAAAACAAGATGTGGATATTGGATTATAAATAGGGGGTCATTTTTTTTTTGTTTAGAGAGATGGGGAAGAGAAATTATTCACGTATACTAAGGTGCATTTTCTCATAGCAGATGAGATGATGTAAATTTGATCATGGTCATTTTTGTCATTTAAAAATTAATTCTGAAGTGAAAAACCAATAGCCCATATAAAATAACAGCTTATCCGGGTTTGGGAATTGGGCGCCCCTTTTATATCGTACATGCATGTGAAGCATGTAGGGTAGATTCATGCCGCTTATGGAGGCAGTTATGGTCCACCTTGCCTATTGGAGTTCAAATTACTC